ACTAATGCGACGCGACAATCGAAGTCCCGAGTCGCCAATGTGAAGCAGTGGGCTTAAATGGCCAATTCCTTCAGATCCTCATGAATCTGTGTCAGAATGCTAGGATACTTCGCCTTGAATCCCATCGCAGCAGCACGATCACCCTTCATCAGCATGTTCGAGCCAACAAGATACTTGACTTCTCCCTCACCAGCCTGTTCAAACTCAACACTCTTGGGCACAGGACTCGAGAAGATACCTCGCGCATGCATCATCTTCGCAAGCTCAGTAGCCAGATCCTTCCATGCAACTCGGCTGGTTTCCAGCATATAGAAACGGCTGTATGGAGAACTCTCGGCGGGGCCTTGGGCTGCAACGTCGGAGATCTTGACGAGGAAGTCGACGAGGTCTAGAATGTGGCACTGCAGGAGTCAGTATAGGTGGCGGATATAGAAGAGAAGTACGTACTGTGCTCAAGACGGCCGTTCCGTCGCCGACGTAGGGGACGTAGCCCAGAGGCTTGGCGTTTCCAGTAATAAGCTTATATCCGACGCCCAACACAGGCGACGAAATACTCGCTCCACCATAGACAACTGAAGGACAGACGATGTAGGTATCGATCCCGTCATCACCATTCCCAGCCTCAAGAACAAGTGTGTCAGACTGTCCATTAAACATCTCCTTATGAATAGCGTTGATATCATCCTCATTCGCATCATTCCAAACCTTACTCTCAGAATTGAAGCCTCCCGAAGTTCCAAAGTCGATGAAGTTTCCCCCACCGCTGATATGGATCACCTTGCCCTTGGTACCGCGGGACTTTTGACCAGCGATGATAGCAGCGACTGGATCAGCTGTAAAGGAATTTCCGGCGTTGACGGCGATGTCATGCTCTGCACTGGCGGCCTTGACCTTTTCAAAGTCGGAGAAGTCGCCGACTATGACGCGGTCCGCGTTGAGCTGAGACTCGGATTGGGGGCTGCGGACGTAGGCTGTGATGGACCAGTCTGGATGGGCTTGCTTCAGGGCTTTTGTGTAAGGAGCTGAGTATATGAAGTTAGTAAGGATGGCAAAGAAGCTTGAGAGTAGTTGACATACCACCCACGAAGCCAGAGGCACCGAAGACAATTACTGAAGGCATTCTGATATTGGTTTGAGTTAAGTAGTTACTGGATGAGTTCTTGATAGAGTTGGTTTGAAAAGAGATGGTGCAAGCTGTCTAAGTTGTATATGAAATATTTGAGAACATAAGAAGTAGCAGTTGATATCTCTATTATATAGATAGAGGGATGTAAGCAGAGTGTTGCTTCCTCGAATCATAATCCAATGTCTCTCACGCTGATACCAGTAACGTTAACATTGTTCAGCCAATCCACCAACGCCGCATTTACAAATGCACCAGCACACATTTCAAGCACCATATCACCACTGACGCAATAAATCACCACGCCAACAAAACAATTCCTCCCAAGGTAAAAAAGCTCAGTCATCCAAAACCCCACAATCTCAATCTCACCAATCCCTTATCGCAGCTCGTAGCAATTTCTAAGCCACTAGCGCACGTCGCTTTGTAACTCGGCACTCGGCATCGTAGAGAGTGCGTTAGTAATGGCTGATGGATCCCTTCGTGGGCAGGGGTCTTCAGACTCTGAGTGGACGGGCAACTCGGTCGCGTTATTCAATTCCTCCGTCGACCAATGTCTTCAGCCCTAGCAGGCTGAGCAAACTCCCTTTTGGGAATGGCGGGGGATGCAGGTGGTCGGATAGATTACGGATTTTAGTGCGGGAGGATTCTGAGATCGTGAATTTGTGTTGGGTTTGTTTGGATATGACGTATAATTGCACCAATTAGTGTAGTTCCGTTACAGAATTGGATTTGAATGCTTGATAGTTGACGGAGGAATCATATCGTTGCAGTGTTGGACGGAATAGGAGTTTGTTCATGATTATAAGAAGCGGTCGATTGCCAGGACAAGATACTTTCTCATCATCACAATTCAATTCAATAACTTCATCACTTCTACAACAGTCTACTACTTCAATCACTTCACAAAAACCCAAACCACTCACCATGAGCTCTGAAAAGTACCTCGCCGGCAAGACTGCCATCGTTACCGGTTCCTCTAAGCTCAACGGCATCGGTGCCGCCACTGCCTTGGCTCTAGCCAAGCATGGAGCCAACGTGAGTACCTGCTCTACTATGACTCTCAACTTGACTTGCTGATTGTTACTAGATCGTTGTTCACTATGCAACCAGCGCGGAACCCGCCGAGAAAGTCGTTGCTCAGATCAAAGAACTCGGCGTCCAAGCAATCGCCGCTAAAGCAGATGCATCATCTGAGACCTTCGGTACCGACCTCGTTCGCGCAGCTCTAGAAGGTCTCAACACCAAGACCATCGATATCGTCATCAACAACGCAGGCATCGCATTTGGACACCCCGACATTGCAGGCATCGAGACTGAGTCTTGGGATAAGATGTTCCACGCCAACGTTCGGGGACCTTTCCTTCTCATCCAGGCAGCACTTCCTCACATGCCCAGTGGAGGACGTATCATCAACATTGGTAGCATCGCCGGAAAGCTGGGTATCACCCCACTGACGGTGTATGGCTCGTCCAAGGCTGCTTTGCATTTCATGTCTACTGCTATGGCGGGTGAGCTTGCTAGCAAGGGAATTACTATCAATGTGGTTTCGCCCGGACCTGTTGCCACTGATATGATTATGGAGGGTAACCCCATTGGTGCCATATTGAGATCTCACCAGTCTATTGCTAGAGAGGGTGAGCCCAAGGAGATTGCTGATGTTATCTCTTTTATCGCCAGCCCTGCCTCAAGCTTTATTACCGGGCAGGTTATTCCCGTGGACGGAGGTATCAACATGCCTTAAAGGACGGGAGGGGCTTTCATGTAGATGCTACCGCATAAGTGCTTGCTTTGAGAATAGACGATAGAGAGTTAGACTTTGACATTTTATTCCTTCTTCGACGTAAACATGCCTACGCATCATATGCTGTTTGTAATTGCTGAAGGTCGCCCAATGATTTGTAGCATTCCAGAAATGAAGCGATATAAATAGAATGATGTACGATAAGAGTGCAAACCCGTTATCTTTCAAATCTTATCGGCTTCCAGAATGATAGGCATCCATCCCCGCAGTGGAGATTCCGCCTCGTCAGGCATCCCGACTCCCAAACGAAACCTCGACACCTCGTAAATCAACGGCCTCCGACTTATCCATTAACAGAATCAATAAGCGAACCAGGCACAAAAGAAGAACAGCTTTTCCCGCCAAAGACTTGACAGCGATGAGTCACTTGGCCTTACCTTTGAGTCCAAGCCATTCGCAGTAATTGAGCGACAGTGTTCGAACCGCATTAGGCAATTGCCGACTCTCAGCCGCAGCGGAATAAGAGCGCGCTCGTTCTGTAGGTAGTGCGTGTCAGGTGAGTGGGCCAAATTTCATTTAATTCTTTTCGTTTTACGATCGGCTTTGGGTTAGAGTTAAGTGCCGAGGAAACATGATCCGATGTCTGGAATGAACTGGCATTCGTTCTCTAGGGGAGTATGTATCAACAGGCATCCAGAAGGACTACCACTATGACGATAACACCATGATGTCGAGAACTTCAAAGAAGCAATGAATGGGTTACATCTCCGTAATGAAAAGGAGCTTCTTATCTCTCCGTCACAAAACAACCAGCGCCCTGAGCTCAAAGGCTTGCAGCACCATGCATTAGCTCCCAACGCCCAATTTCAGACCCAAATTGGTGGCGCCCCTCCTAGCCCAACTGCCGAATCAAATGTTTCCAGCTTACCACAGGGCTGAACAACCTCTCCGCATGATTGTTTTCACCGCTGGTCCTGATTGGCTGTCACACGCCCCGTGTCAAAGCTGTAATCTGCCAGAATGGTGATCAGAACGCCTTGATGCACGCTAACATTATCAGGCATTTTTTCAGGACTGCAGCCACTTTCGGGTCGTCGTGAGAAAAAGGTGATGGTGGGGGAGCTGGGGTATGGAATGGGAAGTGATAAGTATGGGAGGGATCCGCGTTCTGTTTCACATGCTCTTGTTCATCACTCATTCACCGTTTCCCATCTTCTACATACCCAAAACATTTCTCGTCACTCTTTCATCTCTACTTTCCTACCACCAAGATGTCTACCCCAGCTCAGAACGCCCATAACAATGGTCCCATTGACCATAACGACCTGAACGAGTGGAAGGACCGCTTCAACGACGTCCTCGCCCGTCCCAGCGAGCATATCAACTCCAAGTCGCCCGAGTCTTCCCAGCCTTGGCAGAACAGCTTCTTCGGATGCTTTAGCCCCATCGACCTTTGCGCCATCACCTGCTGCGTTCCTTGCGTGACCTTTGGCAAGACTCATCACCGTCTCCGAAAGAACGGTAACCTTCAAGGATACGAGCCCATCAACACCTCTGTATGTTCTTTATACCCCGCTATCTAACCGTTACTAACATCTTCTGTTAATAGTGCCTCCTCTTCTGGGGTTCTACCTGCTTCGGTCTTCACTGGATCCCTCTCGCTCTCCAGCGCGCCAACCTTCGTGAGAAGTACAACCTCCAGGGCAGCTGCCTTGTCGATCTCGCCACTGCTTGCTGCTGTGGTTGCTGCGATCTCATCCAGCAGGACAAGGAGGCCGAGTACCGTGAGGCTCACACATCGGCTCCTGCTGAGGGCTACAAGGCCAACGAGGGTATGACTGTTCCCGCCTAAGGGGCCACAATGTCCATATCTCAGGCCGCCCTGGAAACCACATCATGTTTTCGCGTTCATAAGCGCACCATCGATACCCCATCATGATTGACTAGAGGAATGGTAGCCCGTGCAGGCTATGAGTAATGCATGGGTCAAGCTTCTCAACGTCATGTAATTAGAATGTTATAATACAAGAAAACAAGTCCCTCTTCCAGTGAACTTGAATGTGATTTTGACTGTGTTTACTTATGTCATGTGTGACTTCGTCAGTGGCCAGGCCAATAAGGTTACTGATTGAGTTAAAATCCAATTCGACCCTTTATCCTTGCAATCACGGGTCTGAAATATAGATCATTCAGCCTGTCTCTAAGATAATGATTGAATCCATAAGTCAATGCATTCGCAAGTCCGATAAACTGTGTTGGAGCTTGGAGGGCAACGTTGATTGTTTTAGAGTTGGGGTTTCCAGAAGCTTCCATAAGTCGATTTATCAGACCTGGTGCCCAGAGAAGAACATACATAAATGGGTATGCATTAAGTAAGAGCATTCTTTGAATCTCGAGTTCAACTTGGTCGGTGCTTGGACGCATGTGGAATTCACTTGTGTTGGTTTGCAGGGCACTGATTTGGCTGTATTGTGATTGCCTTGGCGTATAGACTTCAGCAATAGGGTTGCCAGTAACTTCTAGTCTGGGCAAATCTGCTCCAGATTTTGATGCTGTCGGTCGATGGCGCATGGACAATCCCTGGGCCTCACTGGGACCAGCTTGTGTTCTTTCTCCAAATTCCATGTTTATCTCCTTGAATGTGTTCTCCCGAGGTGAAGGAGGCGACTGGCTTTCTTTGGGAAACATCGCAGGCTTGGTCGCTGTTGTGTTTGGCTGCACAAGCTCAAAGGGATCAAGTTCAAATTCTTCGTGGCCTGTGACCTGAAACCCGTTTCTCCTCGGGTTCTTAAGTGGAAGACAGGTGACTTTACGGCTTGCTGGGGCATCCCCTCGTGGCTGACGGGTCTCGGCAACTTTAGAACCAAGTCTTCTTCTTAGATAGACCCAGATATAGATGTAAATAGTGACTGTACTGAATATGACAAAGATGCGCCAGCCGTGTGCCATGGTATATCGTAGGTCGTGGCGACTCGTTGCTATCCAGCACCAGTTGCCACCCACGGGTCGCATCTCACCCATACATGTTGGTATGATGCTTGTAACGAGCGGAAGGATGCAGATAGAAAGGCAAATGCATACTCGCTTCGTCATAGACACCGCAGGCATATAGATACGCTGCGTTACAGTAAAAAGAGTAACGACAGCGACGGCCAGTATTGAAAGATCAACTCCCTGAGCTGAGAACTGGCCTATGAAGCCATTGACAGTACAAAGTCTTCCAATACTAAGTTCGCCGTTTTTGAGATGCCAGATGCCAGATGTGGAGTTGTTTAAATTGTTTGCAAACTCTAGTAAACAGCTATTAGCCAAGAAAGACAACAAGGAGGATGTTACACACCGAAAAGCATCAGCTCGAGAATAAGCATATGCCGAAAGGTATGGATGTGATGGCGATAAATAGCGAATGAAACAAGCACACTGGTAGTTGCAAAGAATGATATAACACTTCCAGCCAAAGTGACAGATGAGATGGCCCCGTGGATGTCGAACGTCATTCTCGATAAATCTAGCGTATTGGAGGTACTAAACAAGGGACTATAAACGTTCTAATTATTGAAATGGAATAGATCAAAGAACACGCTAGCGAGCTCGGAAATAAAAGATCTACTAAGGCACTTGATCAACCTTTTAAATCTTCTGTAATAAATCTTTGAAATCAGTGATTCGCCATCTTGTCGGTCCGACAATGAGGTGTTTGTTTCAGCGTGGAAGAGGCCGAGTGTCCCGCCCCCTGCCTGACAAGGGACGCGGTTGGTTCCCTAGCATTTGCACGGCGGGCTGAAATTGAGTCAGTTCACTTGCCGCCTTGGCATCAAGTGAGATGATATCATCTGCCAAAGACTGTGTATTGTCATGTTAGGTACATTTGTTACATAAACGTTGGGCAGTCACATGAATCCTGTAAATTCTTGGCCGGCACTCGACATCCGTTGAGTGATTGGACGCTGCGTAAAAACATGTAGCTATTCTGTTCTTTTGCCGTGGGGCGTCGCGCCTCTCGTTGCGGTTACTATATAGATGGTTCTCGAGATATTATTGCTATGCAGCCCTTGACTCTCCTGTCGCGATAGTCTCATTTCAAAATACATGGGACACATCGTTCTCAGATAAGTATATTGCGCTGTTCAAGGCTACGTTTTCGTTATGAAACAGTGTGGTAACCTATGGTATCGCTATTATTAAAGAGAAGTTTGTTACAGAAGTATGGATTGAAATACCAGATTGCATGAAACTGCTGCTTCGTCATACCTCAGCATTGCCTGAACTTTCCCCCTGAATATTTAACAAGCAAAATCTCTCATATTTCAGAAGAGATATGGGTTTGTTCAACATAGCCTCGACTGCCGTACGAGCTGCCAGAAGGATCGACATCCAGGTTTCTTTGCGGAGACGCTGTCGATTTTCAAGGAACGAGAACGGTAAATAGAGGGTGGATATGACGAGAGTAATACCGGGTAATGTACCGAGAAGTGGACTCGAGGCATTTCGGCAGGCAATGTTAGTCAGTACGGAAGCTTTCTCGTCCTTCGCTATATGTCGTGCTGGACATGCTGCATGAGCCTACAACTCTAATAGAGATAGCTGCACTAAGAAGGTCATAGGAGCGCGTCTCGTTTGTCCAACCAGTTGACTTGTTAAAGAATATCCTTGATATGTGTCGTTAAGACGTCATAAACCTTAAGTATCAATCAATGGCCCAGCCAGACAGCTGGAGGGTCAGCTCCAGTCTGTTAGCCTGTGTGCCACTTAGGAAGGATCAGCAAAGATCCCAGTGCGGCAATGTTCTTTTTGTTGAGATGCGATGGAAAGCGTGAAGGTTGTTAGTGGTTTGATTATGATCATATAAGTCTGACTTCTGATAACAATATATGCCTAGACTGAACACAGCAAAGCTTGAGTGAAACCACAATGCTATTCGTAAACATGACTCTTAAGAGGAGGGGAATGTATGCTAAGGTTGTGTAGTTAAATCTGTGACCGTTGCTTACCAGGTTCTCTCTGCCGGAATANNCCCACAACTTAGACATCGATACCACAATAACTGACTAATAGCTATAGCATAAAGCTGATATAATAATAATCTAAATGATGACTCATTGGCCGGCCTTAGAGGCGCATAGACCGTTGCTTACCATTCCATGGATTGTGAACGATCACTAAGCTGTACTTTTGCGCGCAAGCTCTGCAACATGCATGTACCATCCTCTAACCGGCATTTTGTTTGGCGAACAAACGTGACTTTTGTCAGTGGTTCAAACATGATCGCAATGTCCGGATTCTAACTAGAATACATGCCTAGAATGAACGCAGCAAGGCTCGAGCCCAGTCCTGGTCGCTTTATTCTTCCCAATACCATACCTAGTCGTCGCTGCCCCAATCCGGAAACTCAAGGCGACTGTCTGTATTCAGCCCTTGAAGATAAGTTTTCGCCCGACAGAGATGTACCGAGGTACTGAACTTGACACCCGCCGCTTCAAATGCCTGACCGAGGTTTCCTCTGCCCCCTGGTCCGCAGACAACCTTGAGAAGCGGGAACTTGTCACTCTTCACTGCTAGGAGCCCATGTAAAGCGTTACTCACGAGATGTCTACTATCGTGATGGATTTCAAGTGAAACGATGGAGCGAGGGAGGAATTCCACAAGTATCTCCGCATCGGCTGTTGCCATCGCCGCATTGACTGGTATTCCTAATTTTGGGGGGAAAGGGTTGGGAAATAACAGAAGAATGCTGATCCAGAGATGTTTTAGTGCCGTGAAGTCCCTCATATTAACTCCTGGTCTGGCTCTCCTGATATTGCGATGTCTAGCACTGAGATCCAGGTGCAGTATCTGAAGGGTGCTCTTATGACGCTGGAGTGAGTCAATCGCATCAGACAATTGGAACATCGTATCATCTGGAGTCCGCTGCGAGTATGGGTCAATACTATGATGAATATGGTGAAGGCATATGAGGCACCCACATCATTAATTTGCCGTCGGTTTTGCCCGGCTTCATATTCAAAAGAAACCAGACCTCCGGTGCAGCCTTCCAGGACGTTTGATAGTCGCTCAGCTGATAGAAAGCCATCTATGATCCTCAAAGTCTTCAAACAAGGCATTTCTATCTTTGCACTTCCCAGGTCACTTATGTATTTCTGGAGATTCAGGGTCTTAAGATTGCCAGAGATCTTGATTATGGGCCCAGCCAACATGCCTAGGGCTAACCTTTTGACTGGCAAATGTGTGATACCAAGCGCAGGCAATGAAGACTCTGCAATGCCGCACGTTGGCCAACCAGGGCTGCTTTGAATGCTGATAATATCAATATTTGGCGCATGGGCTAGAAGCATCGCTACCAGTTCGGCGTTCATCCAGCGGCGACCGGGCATCGACTTCTGAGTCATTGCCCTCCTGAGTTGCCGTTCTTGCTTCTCTGTCATTCTGGGATGATCATCAAGATAAAACTCGCTAAATATGGGATAAACATCTGGCCAGTCAAACTTGTCCGACAGACATATAGAGTCCCGAATCTCCACACGCTTCTTCCAGGCCGCCGGGAGGTTTACACCGAGAGCGGTGGCTGCCTCTAGGAGGATATTTCGGCGAGACTGCTCTTTGTCTTCCGAGGTACTCAAGGTGTGGTGGCTGATATGAATAACCTTGACAAGACGGGCAAGATCAGGTCGGCGAGCCAGGGTGCGGATAAATGGCGCAAGGCGATCTTCCCACTGATAAGCGTCTGAGTACCACGAATCACCATAGCCCAAAACGAATTCATGATACAGAACAGACTGAGCAACGTCTCTGAATTGTCTGCAGGTCAAGGACAGCGAACAGAGAGCCTGTCTACCGATAGCGTACCAAGGCTTAGCGTTGGCCTGTTGTAGCTTTCGGTCAGATTCTATGGGTCGAAGTGGCCTTTGGTCCCAAGATTCGTTGTAGGCATCTTGACAGTGAAGACAAAATTGGCCGAATATGAGTGCCAGTAATTCATTGGGTAGACGTGTAGTTGATGTATGAGCCATTCTGGTATTTTCCAAATAATTATGATAATAGGAGCTTGCATTATTGGTTTCGAAAATATCTTGGCGTCGTGGGTAGGATCATCACGTGAGGAACATTTGCTGGAGCAGCATCGTAGGTGAATCAGTCATTGGTCGTGTCGACCTACCGAACGCTCTAACAACCCATCCATGTGAATGAGCTATCTCCTTGATCCGTATATTAGATCGAGCAGTCATCAATTCCGGGAACACAATACTCTGCTACGAGCAGTTAGGATGGCCTATTCAGCCCAGAGAGCAGCATAATACATCGTTAGGATATGTCCATTACCCAACAATCAAATACCGAAATTTAATACTTTGATATTCAAGCAGGCTATCTGCATCTCGAAGATCGTAACAACGGCTACCCCGTCGCCTTAGATGCCTATCTTTCTATCGCCATCTCGATCGAAGACGTACTCGGATATCTCTATTGTTGGCTCGGCATTCATCCAAGACTTATTGTGCGCCCAAGAGCCGGTGGACAGACTGGTACAAACTCGCTATATTCTCCGTGGGAATATAAGCTCTCAGCCACAAGTCTCAACTGGAAAATACCCATGTGGCTCACAACTTGGACATTATACTGCAATCCCTCAATCGTAACACTACAAAATATACTAAATCACTTTTTTTAATACGAAATAGCCAGCCTAATTGATTAAATACTGAAAAATAGAGCGCGCAGTACGAAAGTACTGGTCAACAAGAACAATATTAACCCCAATATTATCTATATCTATCTTTTGCCCTTGTCCTAACTCATTGATTCTCAGAGGCAGTTCGGTATGATACATCGCTTTGATCCCTGTCTATACGAGGACAGTGATTGATTCAAAGAATTCTGATGTCATGAAATGCTAAATTTAAATCCCCACTGTCAGCTGCCTTGTGATTACTGGTAAGACAAGAACTGTTCTTCTGGTAAGACGGCTAAGACGGCTCGATACATGGAATGATCGACACACCTATACGAGACTGACGTCGGATACTGCTGAAGGTAAGAACCACTTGAATTATGTCTAGGTCTGTTAGAGAATTTAAGTACTCCGTAGCTGACATTGCAGATATATTTGGTCTGGTTACTAATATTGACTCTACTTGCTGACCTCAGATGCCCTCATAAAAGCATAAATACTGCGTGCAATCCATCCTTCGTCTTTACTAATTCTTACTGTCAGATAGCATTCGCTTTATCACTCGCCTTATTGCATTGGACCTTCAAACACCAACAATCATGCAGTCCTCTATTCTCCCCCTGGCTTCTGCTATGGTCCTCATCTCACAGGCCACTGCAGGAGCGATTTCTCCTCGCGAAGCATCTCTCGCTCATTTTCAGATATTCGGCGATGATAACTGCACTACTGCCGAAAGCATGGGTGAATTCAATCTTTATTCCGAGGATACCGACAAATGTCACACATTTCCCACTGACAAGGCTGTCAACTCTGTTTACATTTCTTACATCAACGATGAATGTGCAGGTATGTACTTTCCGTTTGTTTCTATCTGATCATAAAGACTAATTAGTGCTTCCTTGGCGGTATGGCAGTCGGACTATACACAGGTACAACCTGCTCAACTGGCTCTGACAATATAGGTCCAGACTTTTGCTATGGTGAATTTATTACCTATGGAAGCTACAATATTGTTTGCGCGTAAATGTGAATACCTTAGGAACTGTGAGATTGCCTCAGGCTACACCAATGGATATGGTTTATCTTGTTCAATTTCGGTCGAAGCAATTACTGCCCGGCGACAAGTCGCTTCGGCGCGATAGCTGCAAGCTTGTTTGTATTACGTCGAATGTATTGCTTATTCCATAGCTCAGTAGCTAGATTAAGCTAACAGAATTGCTATATGACAAATTCTCGACGAAACATAGATTAGCAGGGCCGTTTCTGGGTCGTATAAACTACAACATGGGGGTAAACTGCAGACTAATACATAATTGAATACCTCTGCCCTTCATATTTTTAAGGCTTCTTAAGTGTTAGATATTTCTATATCAAGATAAATAACTACTGCCGACCACTACATCAGCGATCCATATATTCTCGTCATTGCTATGTGGATAACCTTTAAACATCGGGAAAGTCGCGTATCAGTGAAATAAAGATAAGGATCAAGGACCTCTCCGATTTTATCCGCTGTGCAAGGGGAGCTTGACTCGTTAATTGATTGCATTGATCAATGCACGCAAAGATAACGTCCACAAACGCGTGTAATTCTCGCACGTGGAATGACGATTAGCAAGATATCAACGTCTGCCAACAGGGGCCCTTGTGCATTTTAAGGGGCGAGAAGAATTTTCACGTCAAAGCAACGCAAGTGAAACCTCCTGGATGATAGCAGAAACGCAGCTGAATGATCAGCCTGGGCTCCATCGCTGATTAGATCGAACAAATGCTTAATAGAACTCCACTGCATCCTTGGCATTGGGCTGATATCGTCAGAAAATCTTTATATCTATACATCAGAGGTAAGGGAAGTGGTGTAATTGGGCGTTGAGGCTCAAAATGGCCCGGCAGCTAATTTTAACCCTTGGGTTGGGTTTGTTCTGATCCTTGGCCGTTGGGCGGCGAAACGGAATGACCGCCGAGCTTCGGTCAGAAGCACTCCACTCTAAACGTTGACCGTGGTGAGACTGATAGCGTCGCTCGCAACGTTATCACAATAGCATTTTGTATGGTCAGACAAGTAGGCCATGCCTCGTATTGTATATCAGGCAGTATTGACACTTGTTCATGATTATGGACTCATAAGAGGCCTCACCAGCATTCTTATCAGTACAGTCCAGACCAAGTGGCGAGCAAAACCTGCTTGACAACCAACACCTTGAGGCTCGGCCTTATCTGCCCCCTAGTCCCAAACTAAAAGTATGACACCGACCATTTGGAACCGGCGCCGGCGCACCGGGCCAGAATCCGCGTAGCCTCAGCGTCACGTTGATGGGCAGCGCATCCATGCCATTAAAGCCCGGCCACTAGAAATATAGTGGGTAACCCCCTGGAATGAGCCTCAATGCCACGGCAGTTCCAGCGCCATGGCCCACTGTTATACAGGGTTTAGAATCTTCCATCACGGTCTCATCACGAGATTCTGGTCCATGTCATGATTCGCAATCTTCGTAATGGTGCCCCTTTAGGCGAGGACCACAATGAGCCGACTACTGTAGTAGCGCTTTGCAAAATGGCATCTCCATGGGCTTTTATCTTTTGTTAGGGTCTATAAATACTGCACCGCGCTACTTTCATTTCTGAATTGCTTCATCAGAGCATTCTCCAATGATTCACCATCAGCATTCGCTACTGCTTAATTAAAGCATTTACACAATCGTTTACAACACCAACGCAAAATGGATCGCCTTCGAGATCTTGAGGTCCCTTGGACGGACTCAAACACCCCCACGCGCCGAAATTCGGTCGATTTATCTATTCCTTCGCCATCGGCTGAACATGACCCCAAAGCATTTCTGAATCATCATACAACGAAATCGGCAGCCAAAAATGATCCCTCACAACTTGAGAAGAACAGTCAAGATAATAGTATCGACGAAGAGCCTTCACAACAGCAATTGTCCCTCAGACAACGCTTGCATCATTTTACTTGGGCTTGGTTTACACTACCCATGAGTGCAGGCGGTTTGGCATTGCTCATTCACGTACAACCTCATCAATTCCCCGGTTTAAGAATCATTGGTATTGTACTTTACAGTATTAATCTTCTCATCTTTACGCTTTGCTGTATTGGTATGGTATGTCGCTTCTTGTTCAACCCCGGCGACTTGACAAAATCTGTCACGCATCATCGAGAGGCATTCCTCTTCCCAACCTTCTTCCTGGCTATTGCTTCTCTCATCACCAGCACCCAGCGATACGTCATTCCCAAAGATGACCCTTCATATGTTTGGGCAACCGAGACCATCTTTTGGATCTACGTCGTTGTCACATTCATCCTAGCTGTCTGGCAGTACTCGTACCTCTTTGCAGGACATAGCTTCAACCTGCAAACAATGATGCCAGGTTGGTTGCTACCTATCTTCCCAGTCATGTTGGCTGGTACCGTCGCAACTGTTATCTTGGATACCCAGAGCCACCTCAACCCACTTCCCATCATCTTCGCTGGCCTGACGTGTCAAGGCCTGGGCTTCTGTGTCTCCATGATGATGTATGCTCATATGATCGGTCGACTCATGCAATCTGGTCTCCCCAATCGAGAACACCGAACCGGCCTCTTCATGAATGTCGGCCCGCCAGCCTTTACAGCCTTGGCCCTTATCGGAATGGCCAATGCACTCCCCAAGACCATCTCTGGAGCCGACAACCTTGCTCTCAACGTCGACACTGTCCGCACAGTAGCTCTACTCTGCGCAGTATTCCTCTGGGCACTGAGCATGTGGTGGTTCCTTATCGCTGTCGTCGCAGTGGTCTCATCCCCACCAAAGTTCTTCCATCTTGGTTGGTGGCCGATGGTCTTCCCCAACACTGGCTTAACGCTTGCTACCATCTCCATTGGCAACGAGTTCAGGTGTGAAGGGATTCTCTGGGCAGCGAGCGGCATGACTATCATTCTTGTCATCGCGTTTTTAACCGTGTTCTCATTTAACATGAGGGCTGTTCTTGTGCGAGATATCATGTATCCCGGAAAGGACGAGGATGCAGATGATCACTAGACATTATTTAGAGCTGGGAGCAATGGTTTGGATTTGGATTTGGATTGTACTATTAGAGATACCACGGGATACAGGTTTAGACAAAAGGACACAAAAGGGATCAAGAGTAACAGCGCTCATAGATAGCATCCCACAGGACTTAGAATAATCATCATCAATTATCATTCTCAAAACATGTCGTCCAACATGGCGTAAACACCACTTCGGTTCCCACCGGGCCAGAAGGTTCGATGTCAAAATCGTGCATCGACGGCAGGGAACAAGGATTGGGCTAGCAGAGAATTTTCCTTTATCGGACGAGATT